AAAAAGAACTCCGTTGTTTAATGCTGTTGAGAAAGGTAGTATTGAAGTTGTTGATATTCTATTAGCTAATGGAGCTAGAACTGATGTAGTGGATAAAGTAAGTTCAATTATACTGTAAATGCTGAAAGCTTATAGCAGGGTTAATCATATATCTATTTTCACATGCAAACTGCATGCAATGCACATTTGCATGCCAACACTTTTATTTCTTCGGTATAAGTTTTGAAGAAATAACCTTAGCAACCAGTTCACCTATATTTTATGTAAAGTGAGTGTAGTAAGGTAAAAGTTTTAAAATAAATTTAATTGATAAAATTTGACCAGGTGCCTGTTTTTTTCATGATACTGACACCAAAGTATTTCATAATAAGTATGACAAGTAAGGCAAAAACTACTTGCTGCAATACTATTCAGGCATTAATACTATTGTAGATATCTCTATGCACTATTATGAATACATAATAAAATAAAAAAAAGCTATTAATCAAATTATTATCTGAGCTCTAGGGGATCATGCATATTATACACAACTTAATAATTCTCAATCTCCAAGTGTAGTTATTCTGCTACTACTTTTTGCTAACTTTCATATAATCAACCTCTTCAAGGAGCTGGTTGAATGGCCTACATGGGACTATTGATATTTAACATAATTTTTCAAGAATATTATAATTATTATGTCTAATTTTGTATGTAATTACTATTGTTTATAGGACGGTGAAACTCTACTGCATTGTGCTGGTGAATCTGGTAAAGTTAAAATGCTTGAGTTTTGGATTAAGAGAGGAGATTATGATGTGAATGTTAAAAATAAAGTAATTTCATTTTAAATTATCAGTCACTTCATGTTGTATTATAGAGGAAGAGAACTCCATTGTTTAATGCTGTTGATAGTGGTAGCATTGAAGCTGTTGAAATTCTATTAACTAATGGAGCTAGAACTGATATTGTGGACAAAGTAAATTCATTTTTAATTAAATAATGTTAATATACTTGCTACTGGCTACCTATTTCAATAGCATTGACTATACTCATTGTGTGGTATGTAAAAATTATAAGACTG